ACTCATAAATAATTTTCATGTTTAATTAAAAAAATAGTTTTGCTCATTTCAAACTTCCTCTTTACAAATTACGCAAGCAAGATGCATCTACTATTGACCCTGAGAACGTACGAGGCATTACATGGTCTAATTCAACTCTAAAAATGATAATAAGTTCAAGAACAAATATGTCAAATCCCTCTAAATTTTTATATCCCCTTTTTTTTCTTTCTTTTTTTTTTTCTACATGAGTCACTTTTTTCAAGTGAGAGTTGTCCAGACAATTATTTTAGTGTGTATACAGAAAGTTTAGCACTAGATGATGTTATTCAACTATTTATGCTGAATGAGAATTCATGTTCGATTAAATAAAGTTCTATGTTCTATTGCTTTGCATTTAGATAAATAGTTCATCACGGATGGATAGAAGATCATTTATTGGTTACTTGTGAAACAAAAACAATTAGTTCACAACCTAGATGGAAATTGAACAAGCCATCGAAATGGTTGTAGTGGAGCAATACAGTCGGTCTTAACTGATTAGTCACACTAATACACATTGGTCTATTGATTGGATCCAGAGAGGAGCAGTTCGTTTTATACTGATCGTCGAAATCAACTTGGCGTCAGCTAATTACTGCGTTCTCTTAACTTATAATATAAACAAACACATATATGTAGTAATTATTGCTTTGATTAAGCAAGGTGAAGTTTATTGGTATAGGCCAATAACTTTCTGGATTGGGTAGTGATTCCTACAAGACATGGTGTTCTCATATAATATTTATGGTCACCGTGTACTTCACAAAGTCGAGATTTGATTATGTCCCCGAAGTGAGTTTAGAAACATTATTATGTTAAATCCTGCAGGTGGATTAATTCTGACATAATAATAATGTACTGAACGGTACTAGTTCAATTCAAGAAGTCGATTGTTGGCGGATATTATATCTTAAACATGGGGAGGTAATTCCAGTATTTTAGGAGTGGAGCTCCAACGTAATTTGGGAATTAAAATTTAGAGTATTCAGTAATACTACCTTGGTGGAATGACTGTATTATTTCTATTTGGACTTGGTAGGCTTGACCCACAACTGAGTCCTAATAGGAGAAACGAAATTTAATGTCTCCTTAGGGTCCCTATTGAAGTCTATAAATACACCTCTGCTCTAGTCTTCCAAGACACACCTTATATAGAGATACCTTGATTCTTCTTCACACCATGGGAGTTATAGAGGTGTTAGGTAATTCAATAGAAGCCCTTGGGTTAGTCGAGCATCCGAGGAAACCCGAGCACCCGACCACCCAACCACAGCCGCGAGATGACCTGAGTCCACCGGCGATCACCCGACGTGACCTGCTCGCTCCCGGAGGTAACCCATGATGAGCTGCTGCTCCCTGCAATGTCGAGACCAGCGTCGGCTGCAACCCCGTGAGGCCGTGCGACCCATGAACTTCTCACACCTGGTGACGACATGTAGCAGTGACCCGATGGCGAGCAAACCTGTAACAATCCCGCTCAACGCCAGGCAACCCGAGACGTTATTCTCGGCACTGAACATGACTCGTCTGCTCTCTGTACGCACGCACAAGACCTGCGACAACCCAAGAAGGCCACGTCCGGCTACCCCACAGACTTTGTGACACAGTCGATCTCCATCAACAAAAATCTTCAACGTCTTAGAGTCGAAAATTTATTAAAACGTAAGTCTTCTACCTTTACCAATAGACCAGCTGCGCATAAGTAATTTTGTAGATAAATTTGTAACTTGCACATAAGCGGCGATCCTTATAGATCCCAACAAGTGGTATCAGAGCCAAGTTTAATGCATATTTGTGCAATGTTAAAATTTTAAGGCTTATGTGAATTATATGCGTTCAAGCGCAGCCATAACTGTATATATATATATATATTTATGCATAACTCGATTTTGCAGGAGTATTATAATCCACTATTATGGCATATGTGATTATGCGCTTGATGTGATATTAATGCAATTTAATTTTATTGCATAAAGCCTTGGGCATGTCGAGGATGATGGTTGAATGTTTATAATATTTATTCTCCCGGTGGAACACTGATAGATTTATTTTCTTTCTTAGACAAACATGTAAACTCATCCATGGGTCTATGATCAAAATTGTAATTTTTGATTTTATTTATTTTGATCGTGATCGTGTGCGTATCAATCGGGAGATCAAGACCCAACGGTGTCTAGATGACCCGACCGGACTCAAGAACCCGAGGACGTGCATCGGGATCGCACGTGCGTGCACGGGCGCCTGGAAACTTGCTTCTGAGTTTGCCCAAACATGAGGATTGGAGCGATCTGGACACTTGGTGCGTAGGGATGCATGCAGTAGGTCATCGCGGTCGGCACGACAGAGACCAGACGAGCGAGTGTTTTCTCACTGCGCGATAGAGCATGGCGCGACTTTCCTGTCGCGTACATGTTGCAGTGGCAGCGAACCCGACACGACTGGTCATGCGTTACACGCAGGCGCCATACCGTGTGCGTGAGATGTACGGGAACGCAAGGTCGCGACTCGCGTAAATAGGGTCGAGATGTGCTAGCGACCGACCATAATTTTTTTTTTTTTTTNTCACGGCAGTGACTGGCTGACAGCGGTGCCTTCCCGAAGATGGCAATGTGAAGAAAGCCTGTTTTAAAATATCGCAAGCTCGATGAGCTCGGTGATGATACCTAGGATGAAAGCCTTTTTTAGAAATATCGCAAGCTCGAAGAGCTCGGCGATGATTTCTAAGGCGAAATCCTGTTTTAATTTGTTGCAAGCTCATTGCAATGATATATAGGGCAATGGTTTGCTTTGAAATTTTTCGAGCTCGTTGAAACTCGACGGAGGGTGTTTAGGGTGGAAGCTTGTTTTTTAAAATAATTGAGCAAACTTCTGTAGCTTGGCATTGGGTGTTTCGGGCGAGGGTTTTTTACTCTAAAATATTAGCAAGTTCAAGGAGCTCGACGATTATTAATCCTGGAAAATGCTCATTTGAGAAAATTTGCAAGAAGGCATAATCCGGTTCGAGAGGAGCAGTAGAGCGGTTTGGGACAATTTTTTAGCTCGACAATAAATATGACATGAATACTTGTTCTGATAACATACAGGCTAACCGAGCTCCTCATAGGCTTTTTCTAAGTTTACAAATAAGCATGAGTTGTTAAAATTGGGCGTTGGTACATTTGATAGCTTTTCATGCGTGTCGTGTGTATAGATCTCGGCCACAATGATTCATAACGCGATAATGAGTAAGTTTATGGGTGGCGAGGTTGTTCGAACCAGTTTCCTTAACCCGGCACGAGCTAATGCTTATTGCCGAATTAGGGCAAGAAGAATATATGTTTTAGAAACGTGGCAACCTCAGCTGTAAGACGACGGTGAAACATAAAACGAAGTGCGAAGTGATATAGTGCATGCATTAAATAAAATATGAATTTGTCGACAAAATGGGTTCCAAAACAAATGGCCCTCGGCCGAGCATACAAAAGTTTGATACTAGAAATAGCAAAAAAAAAGGCAGACACATTCTAAGAAGATAATGGCGATCCCTCTCTGTCTTCCTCCTCCTCGTCATGTGTTCAGCCCGGCCTTTGCTTTCGCGATGTCGAGCACAGGCTCCCACCATGGGAAGTCGGCAGGCAGCGATTTGTCGCCGTTCCATCCAGTGGGTTCGGGGAGGTAAGATATCATGGTGGCGTCGTCCACGGAACCTTTGAATTCTTGAGCAAAAGTGCCCTGCACACCTTCCTTAAAGTATTGGATGCAGGCCGGGCGGAGCTTTCCCAAAAAGGTCGTTGTATGCTCATAGTACTTGAGCAGCTCAACCCGATAATACTCAAAGAAGTGAGTGCCATTCACCGAAGAAAGGAAGGAGGTCTCGCCGTCTGAGCGAGCTAGAGCGATGTGTTGGTCTACGGACAGCTGAAGTGAAACAAGATCGGACTCTTTGGCGTGCATCTGGTTTTGCAGCATGATGGTCTCGCTCTCCTGGGACTATAGCTGGGCGGTGAGCTGGTCCATTTCTTGTCTCTGGGCGGTCGTACGCCTCTTTTAGGGTGGCCAGCTCGGCCTACGCCTGGTCCCGCGCTCATTCTGAACTGTTTCTACTTCAGAAGTACCCTCTATCTCCTCATGAAGGATAGGGGCGAGGCCGGCAGAGCCTAAAATAGATAGAATGTTAGAATGCCATTAATTTACGGATGATGAAAAGAGTAAAACTGTGAGCAGAACGACCTTATCTTGACCAAGTTGAATAATGTGACAGAGGCACGAGTTTGGCTATCCTTCCAGGGGGAGGTTTCCACGTCAGGGAAGATGGAGAAAAGGTAGGCCGCAGCCGAGCTGGTGTCTGCATTGCCAAAAAAATATTTCAGTTGTTTCAGCACTGGCTTGGAACATGCATCTTTGGCAGATGACGTCTTGCTCTTCTTGGGCGCCGCATCGCTGCCTTTCGAGGACTTGCGGCGTTTCGTTTTGTGGGGCTCTTATGCAGGTTGCTGAGATGGAGGGCGTTTGCTCTGGGTACCTGAGGTCAACTTCTCGGCATTGGATTTTTGCATGTCAATGATCGGATCTGTTGGCTGTGATCGGTGAACAGGTTGCTCAGCACGTTTAGGCATTGCTAACGTCGCGCTNAAAAAAAAAAAAAAAAAAAAAAAAAAAAAAACAAGAACAAAAACATAACAACACAAAGACATGGTTAGAGTGGTTGTCTAAATTTGTGAATATGAGGGGTTGAGCCGTTAGCTCGTCACTATAATACCCACCTACGTCAGCCACAGCTTCGGCCGGGCGATTGGTTAATTTAAAATGGCAGAGTAAGCGGATGTCAGATGTTATTTTCACGATGTGTAGAGGTCGGCGGTTCCAGTCCCGGATGAGTGCATCACACTCGGCGTTGGGTCGGGGGTTATTATGTTGGTCGGGCAGCTCGTGAATCCACTCGGGTGTAAAATCGAAAGTATTGGGGGAGGACGAACAAAATAGAACTTGTTTTTCCAGTTATGTATTTTCGATTTGGGTTGGCCCAGGAAATGGGCATTATGACGAGTAGATACATAATACGACGTGCCTAGGGTTTAATCCACAAGCAGTAAAAACACAGCTCGAGGTCTATTTTACCTAGCCCAGCTTGGTATATCATGATAAAGCTTATTAACATCCTAATGGCGTTAGAAGAATAATGGTTTAGGGGTAACCTATACAGCTTGCTGAGTTCTACCAGGTCGTCACGGAGAGGGAATTTCAGTCCGGCTGTCGTTTGGTCAAGAAAAAATGTGTAAAAGCCTGGCGGAGGGTTAGTATATGTGTTATTAGGGCAGGGTACCTTGAGTTCCCAACCTCGGGGAATCTCGACCTCTCAAAAAATTTGCGCTATCTTATATGTCAAATAGGAGGCGAGAACACTGGAGCGTGCCGAGGTGACCGTAGAAACGACACCCTTGGTTTTATTGACACCCGAGGAGGAAGTAGCCTCGCTTGTGGGAGCTGGCAGGGCTACGGTCAACAACGGCACACCTATAGGTTCTGAGTTTGAAGGCGAGTAGGTGTTGGAGTTAGTCGTAGAGATGGCGCGAGCTAGTGCGATGGAATGCAGCATGAAATAAATTAAGATATGCTAATGGAGATAATTATGTGTCGAAATGCAGATGGATGCGAGAAACAGGAAAATTAATCAAAGTTTGGTAAAGAAGACGAACATACCTATAGTGTTGTTTGATGAGATGATTGAAAGTCACGGAGTCGCAGAAGCAGTGTTGTCGGAAAATGAGTGGGCGATTGCCGAAATTTCAAAGTGAAGGATGAAGAGGGAATAGTAATGGAGGAAAAAATGATGGTGGGCTAGTATTTATACAAGTGAATTCCTGGGGAAGGAATTTGGGGAGACGGCCAATCATGATCGTTCATTTAAAGTAAAATCGACGGTGCAGGATGATGGCGTGTAGAGGAAGATGTGGAGGCCGAAGGTCGGGCTATCGCGATCGTTGATTTAAATATACATCGACGGTCGGGATAAATGGCGTGTTTTAAAGACAAAAATGATATGACGAGCTAGTGGCGTTAGTGTCATAACGTCTGACATAACGAGCTAATGATATGGGATTTCGGGCCTAGCACATGAGATGCTGGGGATAACGTTTTGAGGAGATACGTGAGCTCACCTAGGGTGGTGATTTGGATCTGCAGTTCGGAGCCTGCCGAGCTGACCTATTATGTGTAGGTAAATACAATTTTTGGGGCCTCCAATAGCTCGGTGCCAAAATTGGGAGGGCTAGATGATACATCACAATGGAGGGTAGCTCGGCCGGTCTACCGACGTAGCGGGTCGAGCATAAAGGCCGAGCTAGGGAAAGCTCGGCATTAGCAATAGGAGGGCGAGACTAAGTGTGCCCGAGTAGTGATACAGCATGGCGTAGCAGTTCAAAGAGATATGTGAGGAAGCCGAGCTGGAGGGATGAGCTTGGCCTATGTTCATAGTCGGGGGGCTGAGAACTAAGATGTGGATGTTAAGTGAATTCGACAGGAATGAATGAGGAGGTTAAGCTCGAATCTTGTGATCGACATTCATCAGAAAACCAGAACTCGAGGTGTGATTATGTGCTGAGGGAGGGATAAATCGAGATAAGCTTGGTGCTGGTGGTCGACGAGCAAATCTAAGGATGTCGGCCTGTACGCGAGCAGGTCAGGAATACAATCCTTGTTAAGAGACCTGGCCGAGCTGGCAAGGATCGATAGTTCGCAACGTCGTGACCCTTCTGTGTGGCGTATGTGGGAATAGAATTCTTATAGCCTAAGGAGTTAATGTGAGTGGGACTCTGAGCGGTTATACGGGATATGCTTGGAGAGACGGACATAAGGGGGATTATGTGTCGTATCAGAAGTCCTATAGGGCTAGGTCACTCTCATTATATAAAAGGAGCAGGTTCCTTTATTGTTACACAACACACAAAATACACTCTTTCTCGCGTTCTGCTAGTTTCTCTCGGATTCCTTACTGACTTGAGCGTCGGAGTGTTCACGTCGGGACCACTCCCGACGTGTTTTGCAGGTACCGACGATCAAGAAGGCATAATCCGGTTCGAGAGGAGCGATCAAGCGGTTTGGGACAATTTGACGTATCAAATAGCCTGATAGATAATTGGAGAAGGGGGTGATATAAGAGCTCGGTTCAACCGATTTCATTTAGCTCGAGTAAGGCAGTGCTACGCATAAGAAAATCAATGTGTTCTATATCC